AGGACGAAAGACTGTACACGCGTACGATGCTCATGACGGCATACAAAGATGCTCCTGATGCCATAAAGCTAGATGCTCATGAAGCTCCGAGAACCCCAGACCCTGGACCCCAGGAGGCTGGTTGAGGTCCAAGTCGAGTTAAATGAGAGAGGAAGGTAGGCACATGGGGGGGGGGGGGTACCATATATATGTGCCTCCAAAAACCCCAGAACAAGCCCCGTCCGAATGTGTGAAAAGGCCGCCACATTGCACGAATCCCCGCAAGATCCTTGACATGGCCTCCGCGAGGTGGTCCTACCGCTACGCCACCGCCTTGCATTGGTCGATCACCCAATTCACTCCAGCTGCCATGGAAGTTGCCTGGCTTCCGAGCTTCGGTTTAGGATTTGGGGTATAAGTTCCAGGGTTTAGGGTTTGGGATTCAGAGGTTAAGTTTAGGGTTTTGGATTTAGGATAGGGGTTATATAGGTTCAGGGTTTAGGGGTTTAATTAACGCCCCCGAACTCCCTCCAAGCCCTTCAGCCTCAAAATCCCGAGACCTCAGCCCCCCAACTAAGCCCCAAACCCCACCCCAAAGCCTTGAACCCCCAAGACCAAACTCCAAATCAAAGGAACGGCCGGGCGAAGTCTAGGCCTCAAGCCCTAAACCCCAAAGCCCTAAAGCCCTAAAACCCGAAACCCTCAAGCCCTAAAGCCCTAAATCCTAAACTCTAAACCCTAAACCCTAAACCCTAAACCCTAAACCCTAAAGCCCTAAACCCCCTAAACCCCTATCAGCCGATGGACCTATAGACTCCTCGGATTCCCCCGAGACCGGGACTTAGATCACGTAGGGCTTCTTGTGTCTAGTTTACCCAAAGGGCCCATAGTAGTTCCTTTTTGGGATTACCTTACAGGATTCTAAATTATGAACCCCAAAAAGGAACTACTATGGGGCCTATGGGTAAGAAGTGGTTGCATTATCGAGGGGTTCCGGTTATTCTGCTTTCAAGGAGTCTTGGAGGTTTTGGATGGTGAAGGGCTTCTTATGATGGGTTAAGGTATCTTCCTTCACCAATGGGTAGCGGTGTGTTTGGGTTACCTACACTGCGCAGAGGCTGGAGTCCCCAACATAGGGGCATTTATAAGTAGAAGGGCACTGTTGGGGTCTATTGTAGGAATCGTAGTGTAGATAACACAAAGGAACCCTACCCACCAGTAGCAACTACTCTGGTTGGTAGCTGTTTGTATTGTAAGCCCCCATATTAGGTCATTTTCCGCTTGATCTTCGCCCGAGACCTCCTAAAGCTAAACGCAGAGAGTCGGAGGCTTGGCACTCCAAAGGCTTGAAGTTAAAGGCCGAGCATCTAAAGCTTCCTCAGCGGCTTCATCTATCCGCGCCATAAAACCCCAAGCCCAATCCAATCTCTGTCGCCCAAAATCTGGAGTCTGCCAGGTTCACCCGACCAACATGTCGGAGCGGTCGCAGCTTGGTGGTGACTTTTGGTGTTACTTGCGAGGCAGAGGGGATGAGAGTTGATGGTCGTGATGGTTGTGGTGGTGGTGCTGGCAGCACTACAGGTTCACATCTTACAGCCACGAAAGGGCCGGCGAACAAGGGCCATCGCCGTCGCGCATCAGTTTCATGCCTCGTCCTCATCTTCATTCATATCATGTTTTGCTTTCGCGCATAAGCAACAACATTGACACCGTCATCAGGGTCCTCGCCGTCATCGTCATCAGCAGCACCAACACCAGCAGTCGCCACGAAGAGAGCGGCAAAACTGAACAAGGCTCTGAATAACTTTGCCCCCCATTGACTATAGGGTCTTTTTGCATTTGAGGTACTCCATTGCGGTGGTGATCTTTGCCATGGTTGGCTTCTCCTCACTGGTCGGCGGCATCACCAGCACCCCGACCTTCTGATGTCCGAGTAGAATGGATTAGACTTTGGAGTTGGGGCCAGAATTTAGATCATAAAGTAGGATCCTCAATAAAGCCGAAGTATGACACATTACGAGACATGGCCGAACAATGGCCGACTCATCCATGCGAGGGGTCTGCATGTGTAAATCAATCCATGCTGTAGACCATAAACACTCACACTATAGTATACCCCAAAACCCTACTCAGACCATTCTCCTCCCCAAAAGCCTTACGTTATTCAAGTAATTGAGACCCGCTGGGCGTTGGGGACGGCTGAAATTCTAGAAACCTAGTGTTCTGAACGGAAGAAGTGGTTAACGTTTTGGGGGTTTGGGGCTTAGGGCTTTGGGAATAAAGGGTCAAACCTGTCTTAAGTGGTTTAGGCTGTATTCCACATGGCCAAAATTAGGGCTGGCGGACTTCAGTTGAGTGGTGCTTGCTCCAAGCATCGTGCTCCAACCTACTCGGCTCGCAAACCCATTCTGAGCCTGAAAAAAAGGGTCCATCTACGACTACGATATCAAGAAGGTGCAAAGTAGGAGGTGTAGAAGGTGTTGTCGTTGCCGGCATCTGACTGTGTTGCTTAGAATCATGTTGTCATAACGGTCAGAACATGTGGCGCGCACAGTTCTGAGTCTCCAAGCTTGGGATGTCGAACACGTGAAGTCGGTAACAAAGGCTTGCACCAAGCTGGCGCTTGCGAACTTGAATTTCAAGCCTACAGTTGAATGCTCTATAGGAGCCCCCAAGCCTAGGTCCGACAAGTCTAACCCCCAAACCTCCCTGAGGGGGTTGCCGTGCCGAGGTGCCGAGTACCTAGAGCGAAAGCTCTGTTTTTTAGGGATTCCGCGGCTGGCGTTCTAACACCCATGGCCCCAACCCTGGACATGTAAAGACACATCACCCCAAAAACCCAAACACCGCACGCTGCGCGAGGTATCCTTACGCAGTTGCGTGGTCTGTCGCAAGAGAAAGCGAAGGAGCAAATTGAGGGCGGCTGGGGCTCCTCAGAATAGGTGGGTTTAGGGCTTCCGTGTTCAGGAGCCGTACCAGTAATCGACTTGGCTAGTTACTAGATCGATTGAATGCAGAGCCCTCCTTTGGTTTCTAGCTGTGAGGGCTGTCGCAATTGGCACCGAGTGTAAGATTCCGATCGAGCGCTGCAGGCAGGTGATCGGGCCTTCGCCCTAGTGTTCAAGCTTTGGGGTTAGGATTTAGGTGAGGTCTTGGGTTTGGACTTTAGAATTGGGGGGCTCCGGGGTGCATCGTTAGCTTGTTCTTTTTTGGGATTATGGTTTCTTTCAGGGGCATCTCCAAGAAATAGTATTTTTTGCCTAGCCTCCCCAACTCAGGGTCTATGGCAAGCTTAAGGTCTTTAGCGCTCGGACTTTGGAATGTTTCGTGCTGCTTGATGGCTGACAGGAGCCTATGTGTAGGGTTCAGGACAAAGCCCTGAAGGCCGAAACCCGTAGACTCCATCGGAACATCGATCTCCAGCTTAGCTGAGTATAGATGGCCGTAGCCTTTTAGCGTTGACGTAATCCTTGCACAATTGCGATGATTTCTTTGGGTTCGAGGGCCGTCAGGTTTTGGCTTTTAGAGTTCATGTTCCTGGTGTTTGTCGGTTTCCGCCCCGGTGCCAGCACAAAAAAGGGCACATCCTGGACGCCAGAAGAAGATGCAGGAGCTGTGGAAGCTGCGCCGCTACATGCGCCTTAAGCATCCTGGTCGCCCTGACCGTTACTAAACCTTAAACCTAAACCCTAAACCCTAAACCCTAAACCGCTTCGTCAGAGACATTGCATTACCCTGCAATGCCGGCTCGTCCTTGCTAAGTGGAAGGCAAAAAAACCCTAAACCCTAAACCCTGACCTCGGAGTTGCGCGTAGGGCGCAAGGTTGGGGTGCTCTTGCAGCTTCGGGAGGCTTAAGGTTGGAATCCGAGGGAGCAACCTTGAGCCTTCTGGAGTCTGCACACTTCCAACATTACCTATAGTCTCCATTGTAGTTCCTTTTTTTGGGTTTAACCTATTATATGTTAGGGATTCTATAAGGTATCCCCAAAAAGGAACTACAATAGAGACTACAGGTAGGGTCCATGGATTTCTTTTTGCCAGGCCAAGAACTCAAGCAACTGGGGAAAGGAGTTCGGGCATCGGGGTTTGAGGGGGTGCACCTGAGCCCTAAGCTTCTCAGGGTCTTGGGCTCAGGCTTGTCTCCTCAAGATCGCAATATCCTGTCCGTGTCTCCCCGGGACCCGGGGCATGCCTCCGGATCTTGAGAAATCTGAGTCCACAAGGTTGCGGAACCTGAGCCAACATTAGGAGATCGCTTTTCGGATCTAGGGCTCAGGGTTTGGAACCAAAATGGAGGCGTCAATGGGTTCTTTCGTCTTTCGCACCTATTAGAGGCGAGAAGCCAGAGCAAGCATAGCTTTGGGATCGGAATCCCCCTCAGCTTTAAGATTGCCTTCATACTGACCTCGGCGTGCTCGCAAAGCCCGAAGCCCGTGTTCCTACACCCAGAGACACCCCAAGCCTGAGCTGGAACCCTCATTAATCCTTTAAACAGGAGCCCTAAGACCGAAACTACCAAGCTGCAGAGTTCAGAGTCCACGTGGAATGCCCAAAGCCTTGCACTCCCCCGGTGTGACTCTTCTCTTCCGATTCAAGCCGAGATCCTCTTCATCGGGTCCTTGGTATAGCCGAGTAGCTAAACCTTAACCTTTTGTGGGGATATTATAACTCCTAGATGCTCCAACTGCCTTTGCTGTCCATGCCCAGGCATGTCAAAGCGGATCTCAATGTGCGCATCCAGAGGTACGTGGAGCATGCATGGATGCTTGGGACGAAAGTTTGGCGTCTGCCGTGGAGCTTCGGGGCTGAACGCGGCCCTTTCCTGAAAATTCTTTCTACGCCCGGCTTGTCAGAGGCCCTTGGGGTTGGGGCCTGAATCAGCGTCTGTTCTCGGCTTCTGGCCAAAAACTGTGAGGTGTTTGTTGCACATGCCCTTCTGGAGGATACAAGCTCTTCCATAGGTGTCCTGTTGGTCTGAGGCTGGAGTGTCCATGAGTTTTCAGATCTCCTCCACTGCGCACCAAAGTCCACAGAAACATAAGCTAGGCATAAGCTGGTTTATCCCAGCTGCCTCCAGGTCCATGACCTTCAGCAGGTGCACGTAGCGGTGCTTCTTTGGCATCCCCAGCCCTTCTTAAACCCTAAACCCTAAACTTAAGGAACGAGCGACAGATGAACCTCTCGATCGGCAGCGTGAAGCTGCTCGTGCGCAACGAGTGCTGTGGTCATGGCTCCTTTTGGGGAGGGCTTAGGGTTTAGGGTTTAGGGTCTGTTCCAATCTCCCTGAAACCTGGTTTAGGTTATACTGTTATACTGTATACTAAATCTTTATAGTGGCTACAGGTTCAGCATGAGCGTCCGTTTGCGAGCAGAACTATCACGGAAAAGACCTCGATTTGGAACACTCTTGTTTGGGTTCGCAAGCTTCAATTCTCCAGATGATGATACTCAAGTGCAGATCAGGATTTAAGTTTACTTTAGGCTGTACGGCTTAGTTCAGGAATAAGATCTGGTACCCCATCCTGCACCGGACTAGAGAAAACCTGGGTCTTGGGGTTTAATGTGAATCCTCAAGCCATGGCAATTGAAGTGCGTAGCTTCCCTACGAAGGGCCCGGTGTTGCAGCTGAAGCCCTTCCCTTTGACACAGGTTCGTCGAGTTACTGTCGGAGCCACTCCGGGATGAGCTGCTCTGTGCCTCTGAGGGTTAGGCTTGAGGATTTTAGGGTATGAGGCTTCGGATTTAGAGTTTCAGGTTTAGGGTGTGTTGATAAGTTGAAGAGCAGCCGAAATCCTTGAGCGCCTGGTGACTACGAGGATGGCACAGCTTGCTTACAAAAGCATCACCTGTATAACAACCACCATTTGGTGACCCGATGGGTTCAAGCTTTGGGAGTTTTGGTTGGGGTCACGGCACCGGGGTTCAGTTGTGCTGTTCGACGAAAGTCGCGGATTTTTCAGCTTTTGGCGATGACTTGTGCGCAGGGCTAGATTCGACTACGAAGGTGTTGAAGCAGTGCAACAGCTAGGTACATAGGTGCAGTCCAGCGGCTGCCGCTATGAAGCAAAGTAGCAACAACAGAGTGACGACGAAGATGGTTGACCACTGCTGTTGCGCTCCTGCTGCTACTGTTGCTGCTCCTTCGGCTGGGAGTGCTATCCTGCCAGCACCACACCAGTCATCAGCTACATCTGCGTCGCTGGCACTGTCGGCCGTAATTCCCGCCACCACCGTCCCCCAAAAACAACACTTAGCTTCACACCGCAGCACAGGGCGGTCTGTGTGAGGTTGAGAAAGTAACGCGACGACTTTGTCTAAAATATTCGGATCATGTTGTAAGAAATCCCCAAGATGCACCTTAGTTTCCTCAACCAGACCAACATCGGGAGACCAGTCGGTGAGTTGTGTGGTTTTCTTTGGTGTCACAGGCTTTTGTCGTAGTTGGAGGGTGCCATGTTTGGGAGACCTTGCGGTAAGCATCCTACTACTTCCGATCGCCTCCCCTTGCACCCCAAACTCCATCATGTACGAACTTCCCTCCCGCTTGGCGCGCCTACTTCATCTTCAGTTCTCCACTCCAGAACCGAGTCTCAAAAGCCTGAACATTTCTGTGGCTCTGAGATGGTCGATTCGGAGCATGTGGTGAGGTGTCCCATGCTTCTTTGCCTATTGTCCGCTTGAGAGCTTTCGTGTAGCGCTAGGCAGCTGGAGCCAAACTCCCCGTGATGGCCGAGCGGTAGGATTCTGCGGATATCAAGATGGACCAACTTAAACCGCTCCAGGTGCTGTTGATATGCCGACCATGGTCGTCCACCCTCTCTTCTCCTTCCTGCAGAAAGAGCAGGTCTGGATGCCTCTTCTGGGGTTCACAGAAGAGTTTGTCATTATGAGGAAAGCCTGTTTCTGTATTCTATGTCCTTCATTCCCAAACAAACGATCTCACTCTCAGGGCCACCAGACGAGCAAAGCTTTGCCTGGATGCCCTTAGTCGCTGAGCCCGGAGCGTTTAAACTTCAACCTTACGTCTCCCTACAGTAACCCTGGGTTAGGGTTTAGGGTTTCAGGTTTTAGGGTTCAGGGTTTAAGGTTTTGGGGTCTGGCCGGTGCTGGAAAAAGGTTTTAGGGTTTAGGGTTTAGGGTTTCATTTTTTTGGGGCTTCACGGTAGAACCCTTCATAAATGGACCCAGCCCTGCCAGGAAGTCACCCTCCGCCGTCTGGTCACGCATGCCATACAGCACCCTGGCAGTCACGAGTTGAAGGTGTAATCTAGGGGCCGAAATAAGCACCAATACTCTCTAATATTATCACTATCGTACAATATACCCCCAAATTCTTGTTGTCAGTATTCCGGCCTCTGCATTCACCCCGTGTTGTGCTCACCTGAAGAGCATATTCGAAGCTAGCGTACCAGAAGCTGTCATTCTGCTGTTGACCCCAAACCATACCGTTTTCAGACCCCTACAGCGGGTTGCATGACACACGGTTCTCCTGGTTGCTTCATCCTATCATCTCTGATGCATAGTATTCAGCATGGGGTGTTGGGGTGTTTGGTTTGATTTGATTGGTTGGGTGTCTTGGGGTTTGGGGGTGTTGGCAGTAGTACTGTACCTTCCGGTGCCTCAGTATAGCTTCGCCCTGCAGAAGAGTTAGCACCAGGGCGGGCCTCCCCGTTCGAAAGACAGGTTGGGAGTTTGCTCGTGATGTGTTCATCGTTGTCATCGTGACGGCAGTTTCTTAAACAGTCTGCAGCCGGCTCCTTCTCAATGACCTTGGACTTCGCACCACCGAAACACTGAGGCACAAGTTCCTGGCACGTGGGGACATCCATTTCTACTCGGCCGAAGTGGCAACACATGCGCCATTTGGATTGTGTGGTGCGTGGTCTGGAGACTGCCAGGGTTTTGGGAGGTTCCGAGTGCAGGGGCTTTCTGCAGTTTGACGATTCAGGGAGGGCCGACAAGTTGTCAAACGTGTATATCCGTATATCAGTGTATATCCACCGCGGCCGTCACTGCGTGCCAGAATCAGTACAGACAGGAATGGCATGAACATTGTCGGTAGTCTTCCAGTGCTCATGGCTGTAGCGATGTGGAAAATTCCGGTCATTCCTAGCAGAACTCCATGCTTCGATCGTCATGACCATGCCTTGCTCGGCTACTAAAGACGTGTTGCTTTTCCTCTTGGCACTCGATGCATCGACTACGAAGCCTTCATGACGAATATAGGGGCCTAAATAATTACCTATACTATTTGGGGGTTCCTGGTCCTTGTTGTAATTTTAGTATAATGCGATGGACATCAAAACCCCCAATTCTAAGTATTAAGGCCCCTAAACCCTAAACCCTTATAGAACCCTTTAAGGAACTCTTAGGTAATTATTCATAAGGTACCCCAAAACCCTATTCTAATTATTAAGGCCCCTTTTAACTTAATATTTATAGTATAAGGTACCCCAAAATTCTAATTATTCAGGCCCCTCCCGACATGATTCGGGCCTGGACGCTTCCCCCCGGCCCGGCCCCCCGAGCTTGAGTCCCCTCGCCACCCGTACAGCCGTCCGGAGCGGGTTTAGGGTTTAGGGTT